TCCAGAGACTGCACTAGGGGAAAGAAAACCAGGCCACTGCATAGAAATATGATTAACTCCAGAGAAACAAGCCCTGCCTTGAGAGGGGCCTCACTATTCCTAGAACAGATATTTCCAGTTAAGGCGAACAATTAAGGAAAAAGGGGTGTAACCCTTCTGCCCATCAGAGTTGGCAGCAACAAGGGCCGGGTTCAGTATCTAGGGGTTCCGTTTCAATAACACAATGCAAAACCGGCTCAAGCCCCCACCCAGTGACCTGGGACAATTACATACCACCCCCCGGGCGCCTCTAAGAGGCAATACTTCCCCTCTTGCAAGCACGGAGTCTGAGTGTAGCAAAAGCCTTTTAATAAAGGAGGGAAACAATGCGGCATTATGTTGGGGAAACACCACAAACAGGGTTCATAACACAAACCATGAGCAAAAGACCCACCCCCAAGTTAGTTTGGCAGTGTCCTTTTCCCCTCAGGGTCTTAAGTCCAGCAACCCAACAGTCACCGCCCCCCCAGTTTCTGACCTTGGTCAGTGCAGCCCCCAGAGTTCAGAAGTTCATCTGCAGAGTTTTACCTCCCAGCCTGGGTGGAAGCAGGGGGAGGTATGGGGGGCATCTTACATGCTCTGCTGCTCGGGTTGACTGCCCAGTGCCACGCCTCTCCATGAGGTTCTGCTGCAATCTTCACTGCCAGCTGCGCCTCCCCGCCAGCCGTCCTGCTGGCCGCTCCTCTCCGCTCCGCTTTCTGCCTGCCGCCCAGCTATTCGCTCCACTCTCCGCCAGCCGCCCTGCTAGCCAATCCGCTCCACTCGCCGTCCTGCTGTCTGCTCCGCCAACTTGTCTTCAGGCTCCCCCCCTACTTAACACAGCTCTTAGTAACATCAGCTCTTTAGTGACTTCAGCTCTCCATGAGTTTAGCTGGTAGTAGGGGAGCCTCAGTGCTGGTGCACCACTAGCCCAAAGTAGGTCTAATGCTTAGACCTAGGTTTCTGCTCTGTAGCATGTAACAAGACTCCTAATGGAGTCAAAATTAGCTCTGTTATTACACACTGGAGAGAAGAGAGGTAAAAGTGGTATTTCGGGCCCTCAGAAGGGACCCACACTACCAGATACACATACCTGTCCCCCCCCCAGCTTTGGAACCCATGTCCCTTGCCTAGTGAGTGCTGCTTAGTTGAGGGCGAATCCCTCCATCATAAAATGCCAAGTACAGTTCTACTGTCCTTGAGTCACATATCCAGGATAACAACCCTTTATTACTCCTGTCCCAATAACAAAGAGACTGGGGATCCCACAGCAGCCAAAGTGACCATTTGGGCAGGCAGTCCTTCATACTAGGCAGGGTGGGTGTGCCCATGCAAACGAGATCAGCCCCTGAAGTCCTTTTCCACAGCTCACTACCAGATCTCACGGTAGCGCTCATTCTGACTCTGCTTACAGGGGTATGGAAAGAGGATCTACCTACTAAGCTGGGACAGCAATAGCAGTAGGCCCAGAAGGAAAACTATGGACTGGAGGAGACCCAAGGGAAGTCAAATGCTGCTCTTGAGACTAGCAGCGGAGGTTGGGAACCAAGGAACTGACAGACTCAGTTCAGGACTGGGCTCCCTGGTACTATCTCTGGGCAAATACCCTGCCTGCCATTCTCACTAATCCCTTCCTGAGCCCACACCAGGATCTGACCCTCCCTCCTACAAACTGTATATGAAACTGTTGCTGCCCATCACAGCCACGAGAAAGCACGAACACACTCAGCAACCCCAGGAAGAGCTTATTTTTACATAACTGTAGGCTTCTGAAATCCCATCCATGGGTTCAGATCAGTCCCACAAACCTGGGAGATTCCTGATTTCTGCTGCTCATTCGTGGCTCCTGATAGAGAAGATAGCTACTCATTGGCAAGGTCTGTACTGCAGCTTCAAACATAGGTGCAAGAACTACGGGTGCAGGGGGTGCTGTAGCACACCCAGGTTTTACACAGGGCTCCACTCCTAGTCCGGGGCTTCCGGCCTCGTGCCTGGCCCCGCGTCTGGGGCTCCAGTCTCAGTCCCACACGCGGAGTCCCAGCTATCAGCCCAGAGCCTGGGGATCCGCACCTACTCCCAGCTGTGGACTCAGCTCCCTTATCCCTGTTCACGTCCCCCTGTCCCGGAGCCAAGGCCCTGCTCCTTGCCCCAGCTCTAGGAGGGGCAGGGGGCAGCACCCCCACTCTAAAAAGTGTTCCAGCGCCACTGGTTTCAAGTAGGGTTGCCAACTTTCTAACTGAACACCCTTGTCCTGGCCCCTGCCCTGCCCTTTCCCTGAGACCCCATCCCTGCCCCGCCCCTTCTCCGAGGTCCCGCATCCAGCTCACTCCATTCCCCTCCCTCTGTTGCTTGCTGAACCACACCCTCACTCACTTGCTCATTTTCACTGGGCTGGGGCAGGGCTTTAGGATGTGAGAGGGGGTGTGGGCTCTAGGATGGGGCCAGGGATGAGGAGTTTGGGGTGTAGGAGGGGGCTCTGGGTTGGGGGGTGAGGCCGAGGGTTTCGGAGTGTGGGAGAGGGCTCCGGGCTGAGGCAGTCAGTTGGGGTGTGGGAGGAAGTACGGGCTCTGGGCTGGGGGTGTGGGCTCCAGGTGCAGGAAGGGGCTCTGGGTGAGGCAGGGGGTTCAGTGTGGGAGGAGGTGAGGCCTCTGGCTGGGGGATGCGGGCTCTGGAGTGGGGCTAGGGATGAGGGGTTTGGGGTACAGGAGGGGGCTCCGGGCAGGGGCAGGGTGTTGAGGTATGTGTGTGTGGGGGGGGGGGTGAGGGCTCTAGGATTGGGATGTGGGCTCTGGGGTGGGGCCAGGGATGAAAGGTTTGGGGTGTAGGAGGGGGCTCTGGGCTGGGGCCGAGGGGTTCTGGGATCAGGCAGGGAGTTGGGGTGTGGGGTGCAGGCTCCAGGAGGAAGTTTGGGTGCAGGAGGGGGTTCTGAGCCAGAGGAGGGGATTAGGGCACCGGGAGGGGGTTCAGGGTACGGATTACGGGCAGTGCTGACCTTAGGCAACTCCCGGGAAACAGCGACATGTCCCTCCATAGTTCCTGTCCAATGGGAGCTGTGGAGCCAGCGCTTTGGGTGGTGCCTGCGGGCAGGGGCAATGCACGGAGCCTCCCTGGCTGCCCCTCCACCTAGGAGCCGGAGGGACATGCCGGCTGCTTCCCAGGAGTTGCGCGGAGCTGGGCACAGAGCCTGCCTGCCCCACTGCGACAGCAACCGGACTTTTAACAGCCTGGTCAGCGGTGCTGATTGGAGCCGCCAGGGTCCCTTTTCGACTGGGTGTTCCGGTCAAAAAACGGACATCTGGCAACCCTAGCTTCAAGATGTAATGCTCAGCTCAGGTAGACATTCATGCACTTGCTCTGATCATAAAAACAGCAACCCTGTCTGAGATTCTAGTTACAAGCCTGAGCCGCTGCCCATGCTGCCATGGCCACAATGCTAATTTAGTGCACTATCTTGTGCAGAGCTAGCACATGATATATATCTACCCAAACTGGCAATTACACCTGCCAGCTGCAGTGCAGACGGACCCACGGTGGCCATGGCAATGCAGTGGAAACACACTATCAATTCCAGACCCAGGCTGCAGACGGGAGTAGGGTCGCAGGTTAACAGCAGATTCTGAGAGCAGGCAGAGACAATCTGGAACAGGATGGTGTGATCCTGCTGCATTACTTGCACACTGTAGCAGATGTCTGAAACTTGAGTCTGTCTGGCTTCCTGCAGCTAATCTTCAAGTGGGAAATGGGGGAAATTCCACCTTGTGACAGGAGCTGCGGGCCCTGACCAGGCTTCCCGTAGGGTGAGGTTTTCTCTCTGAGACTCAGCGTTTTTGCTTGTCTCCATGTATATTAAAAGGAGTACTAGGGAGGAAACTGAGCACCAAACATCACCCCATAATCGTACAGTAGTGTGTAAGCGTTATTATGCCTCTGAAATGGTGCCAACGGTATGCAGGTGCGTAGGCAATCATCATAGGCATGGCTAGCTGGAGAGACAAGTGTGAAAGAAGTCTCCCAAAGGGTACCAGCTGCATGGTGGCACCCAACAAACCCCAATTCTACATATATAAACCAATCACAAAGATAAGCAGGCACTTGGAGTGTATGTGATGGGGCAGGAAAGTAAGGAGAACAAGAACAATAATGAAAAAGCTAGGACAATTTAAGGGACAGGAAAGAAGCTGTCATACATTGCTGAGTTTGCTTTTTGAGGCTGTGCTGGGACTTCGGAGGGGATTGGGTGCCTGGGTTACCGGGATGCGGTTTGTGATAGCGAGGAACGTAGAGGGTGGAGAGTCTAGGCTCTAGGGCCAATATTGGGACCTCTTTACCTTGCCCTGCTGAAGCTGAGGCCTCCTCATTCTCCAGCTGAAGAGAGGTCACCTGGCTGCCTGCGCAGCAGACTCCATGGTGGTCCCAGGTGGTATGGGAGAGCATCTGCAGACAATTGTCTGTTACCTGTAAACAGTTCAGTGGTGAGCTGGAAAGACAAGGCTACAGACACTAGTGTCATGCAAAATCTGTGTCCTCCTGACAGGCCTTCGGATCATTTTTTGGAAGCAATGGCGCAGAAGACAGTTATATGTCTGATTTTAAATTCCCCACCCTATACCAACCAGCTGCCATGGTCGGGGATCATGATGCTAGCACTAAGAGCTAGTATCCAGCTTAAGGAAGAATTTCATTCTCCAGGGCAGCATCTTTCACCATGATGAAATTCAAACAACTATTTTAAAGTGCATGAAAAAAAAAAGTATAAAAAGAATAATGCAATTTGTTTCAAAAAGACAGTTTTAAACAGTAATCCACATGTGGTGGAAACAGAACAGCCAAAAATAAAGCTATGTTATCAGCAAGTGAACTGTGACACACACTGGTTCTTTAAGGAATGCCTGGGGAGGAGGCTTTCAGAGCAGTGTACATGTAGTGATGTCATTGTGTTGGTGCATGGGAACCAGGAAATAGGAGTGGAGGAACCATTTTTACTGTGCAAGCAGAGTAACCAACTAAAAGAATCCACAACTGATCGAAATGGAAACAGATACATTTGATTTACAGTCAGATTTCAGTTTGTAGCTTTGAAGAGGTTATTCGTTACAAAGGTAAGCATAAATTAAATATGATTTAAACAGATTGACAATATCCCTTCAGGGGGAAAAAAAACTGTTGAAATTTAAAAAACGCAGATGCGTTTGGATACAGAAAACAGGGTTGACTCCATTGAGGGGAGCATACAAAAGAAATAAGAACTAGAAAATTAAAAGGACCCTGCAAGGTTAAAATCATATTTTAAAAATATGCCTTTACTTGTGTTATTAAAAACTCCTCTGATTATTAAAATTTAAACCTTTAAAAACGAATTTATTTTACACTAGTCTTATTTTGTTTACTTTTTAGGGTTTTCTCAAATGAGTCAATTTCACTTTATACAGTCTGTCTTCACTTTCTAGTTCTGATGTACTAGCACAATCTTGGAAAGTTTGGGGAACAGACATTACAGGAGAACCTTTATTTCCAAAGTAACAAATTAATTTTACTGCACTGCTTTTTTTTTTTTTTAAAAGGGGGATACTTCTCTTACTATTGTTTTTATGTAAAACTTGTTTTTTTTTTACAATATCTGTGGTTTGGGTTTAAATTGACCTGGCCACATCTCTTAAAGTAATTCTTAAAGTTCATGGAGAATGATAATTTGACTGACTATAGCGAATGGCAGGATTATCTGCCTGTTTGTGTTTATTACCAGGAATATTTTGGAGTTAGTGAGATATTATTACACCAAAGTGACATTTAAGGTTATTACAATTTTTTTTTTAATTTTGGAGCAGAAAAACTGCATGTGTTTACCAGTTTTAGAAAACCCTAATTTCAGTCCTGCTCCACATTTAGAAATAGAAATAATGCAGCTCACCACTTTCAGTACTGTCTGGAGACTTTAACTTAATGAATATTGCAAGTAATTTTCTCTCTGTTGACAGGGAGAGGAACTTGGGCATCTGCTGTGCATTTCTATCAGTGAATCCCCACCCACATGCAGAACCCAGCAATTATATACCATTCCCTCATTCCAAAATACAGAAATACCTAAATTCCAACTTTCTCTCCATGTTATGCCCCACTTTCTTGGTATGAAATTGCCACACTGTCCGAGGCATCCTGCAACAATGCCAAGATTTCAAATGCACCACAGGCTTACACACTTAATATCCTTTAGCTATGCCAGTTTGTACATGTGCCACAGAATTCTCAAGCTTGTTCATTTTCTGTAGTCCCAGAGTCCTCTTTTTTAATGAAGTCTAGATTGCTGTCACAGGTCATGGGAAGGAGCAGCATGGTCTAGTGAATAGGCTACCAAATTAAGAGTCGTAAGATCTGGGTTCCATTTCTGGCTCTTCTACTAGTCTTCTCTGTACTGGGAATATCATATCTCTTCTGTGCCTCTGTTTTCCCATGTCTAAGATGAGGCTAATGATATTTGCCTTTGTAAATTGCTTTGATGGGTGAAAAACCCTATAGAAGAACTAAGTATTTTGTTGCCACATAATAAAATATAGAAAAAAATAAAATATAATAAAAAAGTTACAATAGGCCACACCTCCACTGAGAGACTGAAGTAAATAAATCATGATGCACGAGTACAATAGTTGACTTTGTTCTGATTGGTCAAATATATTGTAACAAATATCAGGCAGTAATACAGCAAACATAGGCCCCACTAAGTCTGCTTACATGAAATAGCCTTTGTTTACATAATAGAATACTATAAATAATATTATTGTCTGTAGGTTTACATTTGGGTATTACATTCTGGTCACTGTGGGATGCCCTTCTGAAGAAGGGAGGGGTTGCTGAGTACAGGATACACTAAGAAGCTGTAGTTTCATTGCTGTTCATAGCTATCTGTTCAGTGACTCTGTCAGTATTGTCCTTGAGCTGTTCATTGATATCTGGGATTGTATATGCTGAAGGATATAGAAAACAGAAACTTTTCATCTTAATTGTGGTTTTTGCTAGTCTTTTCACCACATTATCAAAGGTAAGAGAACCCATGGTCTTTTGACTGGTCAGGAGAAAGCAAAGGTCAGCCTACAGACTCTCCCTCAGGCGAGTTAGGAATTAGCAAAAGAAGAAAATAAAATTGCTGTCTTGCTTATTTCAGACCAGATTTTGCCTGGCTCTTGTGTAGGAAGTAGGAATGTGCAAAGAGCCTTCCCCTCTTGCACTCCCACATAAAGATCAGGAACAACTGCAGTCCCTGAGTACAGGGACCACTCCTTCTCAGCTCCTCTGTGGGACTGTGACTCTGTTCTTCTCCCACAATTTCCATGCTAACAAGATCTAGACAGCTGTGTAGAAAGGAGAATGGTGGACCATGCTTAAGGACTGTGCATTGTCCACACTTCCCAGGCACAGTGGGGAGCTGTGGGAGAGATTATATCTATTGAGAACCAATTATTCCTAGAGTTCTCAAGTAAACTTTGTAGCTATGTACACACTGCCCTATGGTAAGGGGTATGTTTTACTGGGACAACTAAGCACTTAATTTTCATATCTTGTAGAAACTGTAAAATTAAGCCAGCAAATTCCTGTTAAAACATTTTCATTAGTATGTCAAAAAGCATGAAGAAGATTTAATATTTTGAAGGCTGAACAAGGATTACTTCATTCAGTTTTTTTAATTAAAACTTAATTTTGGTTTTCCAAAGGGATCCTTTCTTCAATGCCAACAAAACTGAGAAATTTAACTATATTCAAAATCCATCGCTGGTCACACACAGCCAACAGACTTGGCTGAAGGAGGGACGACGATGCCCTTGGACCAACTGCAGAAGACAATCCATAACCCGGTAATTCCCCATCGTGTAAACAGCTTCTCCCTGAAAACACTGGGCAGCTTTACCCCACGGGACTTTGCTCTTATGTCAGCTAGTCAGAACTGTGTGCTGTTTGTGTGGTGATAGGAATATTGAGAAATCTCCAAATTTCTCATGTACACGAGAATAACACCTGCTGCTTTCAGTACAGTTCTTGTTAATAGGGGTAAGGGACTTGGAGCTGTGTGTATCTTCAAAGTTAAAGTATAGTATTTCCAAAAAGGAGAGAGCACTCATAAATTTGGAGTATCACAAGTCTTATCATCATGCTGTGTCAGCATTGCCCCGTCTCAATGGAAATGTGAGACTTAATCAGGTGGAGCACTTAGCCATACCTTTTGGATAGGAGACAGAGTTGGGCTTTTTGGCATCCAGAACAACTACATGTATCTTCCCCATTCTTCATAATTTCCATGTTCTTTTTTGGGGCTGAACCCAGCATTGTGTTATTCTTTATTATTTTGTAGTTCTAGGTTTGTGTGGGTTTCATGACCTTGTTCTTGCAGAAGCTGTATTAGTGTATTGCTTTGATTTTGGTTATGTAAAGGAGGAAGTTGAATGGGAAGCTAGTTTTAAACTTAACTATGAAGGGAATAGCACCCTCCAATAAAAATACATACGAGCCTACATTACAGGCGAAGCTGGTAGCACTGCCTATTATGAAGGTTGCCCGACACTTCTCAGTAGAAGACACTGTCTTCAGTTGAAACAACGAGGAGTCCTTGTGGCACCTTAGAGACGAACAAATTTATTTGGGCATAAGCTTTTGTGGGCTAGAACCCACTTCATCAGATGCATGGAGTGGAAAATACAGGAGCAGGTATAAATACATGAACAGAGTATAAATACATGATGAAATGGGTTCTAGCCCAGGAAAGCTTATGCCCAAATAAATTTGTTGGTCTTTAAGGTGCCACAAGGACTCCTCGTTGTTTTTGCTGATACAGACTAACACGGCTACCACTCTGAAACCTGTCTTCAGTTGCTTATAGCTTTGTCATATGTTGACTGGGGTAAAATTTTCCTTGCTAGGTGTCTAACTCAGGTTGAAGTTTTCTAGAAAATTTCAGCCAAAATGGTTCAGTTGTTTCCATGAATGAGGCTAGTGAAAAAGTGTTATTTTGCCCATGTTAAAAAATTCTGGTGACCTTTTCTTTCAGGCAGGCCATTCATCCGCTTTTAAGCCGGACAGTCCTGATTTTGGAAAGGTTTGTCCCTGCCCTGTACCGGACGTAGTTTTGTCCAGTATCATCATGCATGCAAGGGCATACAGGCGGAAGCAGGCCCACGCTGTTGCGGAAGTACTGGAATATTTGGTATTCGAGGATGTGTCAGTGGCCATTCTCTTTTCTTTGCAAGTCCATGCTTTGGAGCAGGAACTTGAAATTTGGCAGGGGGTGGAGGGGTAGCTTTTGTGTATTGAATGTGCCTTTTGCCTTCCCCATGAAAATCTGCTCAATTTTGGCCAAGTTATGAGTCTTTGAAAAATCTCAAATTGAACGTGCTCAATAGACTTCTTAGATATTAACAGCTACATTTCCAGAAATTTCTGTCCATACGGAACATACTCCAGTCCAGGGCGGAGCTGGACTTTACTTGCAGTTGCGGCTATGGGCTATGAAAGGACGGTACATGAACTGAGAGCAAGGAGCCGGTCTCTCTTGTGCTCTCAGTAACCCCCCTGCTGGGCCCAGGCAGAATAGAGGAGGAAGCTGCATAATTCAAGACAAGGACAAGATCTGGACCTGTGGAGGGGCAGGGAGAGTAGATTGGGACAAGAAACCAGAAGGGGTCAGGGGCAGAAATTGGGACTGGAGGTTGATGGAGAGGAGCAGGAAACTGGGAATGGAGTGGGGTGAGGGGAACGACCTGGGACTGTTTGAGTAGGGATACTGGGACTTGGGAGGGGACTGGGAGCCAGTAGGTATGGGAGGGGGAGACTCAGATCAGATAAGAAGCTGGGGGTAGAGACTAGAAGTGGGAATCATTGGGAAGCAGGGAAAGATGTGGGGGAGGGACAGATCTGATGAAGAGACAGTGTGGTGGGAGAATTGGGATAGTTTAGACAAGACTGGGACAGGGAGCCATGTGTGTGTGTGACTCTGAGATGCACTTGTGCCCGGCCAACCAAGCGATCCAGATAGCTGTATATCTGTGACTTGTCCTCTTTGTTATTACCACTTCTCCAATTAGTGTCATCTACCAACTTTATCAGTGATTCTATGTTTTCTTCCACATCATTGATAAAAATGTTAAATAGCATAGGGCCAAGAACCAATTCCTTCGGAAACCCACTAGAAACACACCCACTTGATAATTCCCCATTTACAGTTACATTTTGAGACCTATCACTTAACCAATTTTTAATTTTTAGTGTATACCATATTAATTGTATATTCTATTTTTTTAATCATGCCATGCAATACCAAGTCAAATGCCTTACAGAAGTCTAATTATATTACATCAACACTATTACCTTTTATCAACCAAACTTGTAATCCAATAATAAAAAATAAATAAATTAGTTGACAGGATCTACTTTCCATAAACCCATGTTGATTGTCATTAATTATATAACCTTCCTTTAATTCCATATTAACTGCCCCTTTATCATGCCCAGGATGGATGGCGGGCTGAGAGGCCTATAATTATCTGGGTTATCCTGCTTACCCTTTTAAAAAATTGGCACAACATTATCTTTTTATCCAATCTTCTGGAACTTTCATAGTGTGCTAAGACTAGCAGTCCAGTGAGCTCCTCATCTGGCTCTTTTAAAATTCTTGTGTCAAATTATCTGGACCTGCTGTTTTCAAAATGTCTGACTTTTAGTAGCTGCTATTTAACATCCTCCTGAGATACTAATAGAATGGAAAGTGTTAGCATATGAAATGACTACATCATAAGAACATAAGAATGGCCCTACTGAGTCAGACCAAAAGTCCATGTAGCCCAGTATCCTGTCTTCCGACAGTGGCCAGTGCCAGGTGCCCCAGAGGGAATGAACGGAACAGGTAATCATCAAGTGATTCATCCCCTGTCGCTCATTCCCAACTTCTGGCAAACAGAGGCTAGGGATACCATTCCTGCCCATCCTGGCTAATAGCCATTGATGGACCTATCCTCCATGAATGTATCTAGTTCTTTTTTGAACCCTGTTATGGTCTTGGCCTTCACAACATCCTCTGGCCAGGAGTTCCACAGGTTGACTGTGTGTTGTGTGAAGAAATACTTCCTTTTATTTGTTTTAAACCTGCTGCCTATTATTTTCATTTGGTGACTGCTAGTTCTTGTGTTATGAGTAGTAGTAGACAACACTTCCTTATCTACTTTCTCTACACCAGTCATGATTTTATAGACCTCAATCATATCTCCCCTTAACCGTCTCTTTTCCAAGCTGAAAAATCCCAGTCTTATTAATCTCTCCTCATATGGAAGCCGTTCCATACCCCTAATCATTTTTGTTGCATCATTTGTTTTTTTCCCAAATACAGAACAAAAATGTTTATTTAACCCTTCTGCCATTTTTGCATTATTATTGATAATTCTACCATTTCCATTTAGTAATGGACTAATACTATCATCATGATTCTTTTTGTTCTTAATGTACTTAAAAAAACCTTTTTAAAAATTGTCCTTAACTCTGCAGGCCATATATTTTTGCTTCCCTTATCAATTTTCTATAATTCCTAGATTCTGTTTTATATCCATTACTATCAACTTTCCCTTTCTTACATTTATTACGTTTTTTTATTTTATTTTTTATAGTTGCCTTCACTCCCCTTTTAAACCACATTGTTTTTTTAGCCAGTTTGGCCATCTTTCTTGTTATGTTGATTATTTAGAAAATCTTGCTCTCCAAATCATTAGATAAAACTGGGAATTTTGCTATATTGGTTTTGTTTTCATTGTTCTTTTTGACCTAAACATCCCCAAATGTTATTTTGAATATATTCTATTTTCCCCTCCTTCTCATAGGTTATTCCATATACTGGGGCAATCCTTAGTGGTCTTCTTCCTGGAGAACTAGTTGTAATACAGGGAAGTGTTCCTGATGATTCCGACAGGTAATGTCTAAAGCCATCTGACTTTCAAGAGGTTATATTGTGAATGAGCCTTTGAGGAGGCAAGCTGATCAAAACCCAACTAAACGGCTTTTCATAGTTTGCGGGATACACATGCATTGGAAATGTTTTAATTTTTCTATCATAAAATTAGGACATTATAAACCTGATCCTGCTTCTGTCAGTGGAGAGGCTCATTACTGTAATGGACATTGGATGAGATCCCAAGTTGTGTGACTGAAAATGACTGAAATCTTTGAAAACAAACCCACAGCCTCAATAACAAACATTTTTCAGTTTTGAAAAAGTAATTAACATATTTCAAAGTGACACAATCCTTAAATCTTTAATTTATATTTAAAAACTGAGAACCCATAGACTAGGGTGACTAGACAGCAAGTGTGAAAAATTGGGACGGGGGTGGGGGGTTATTGGAGCCTATATAAGAAAAAGACCCAAAAATCGGGACTGTCACTATAAAATCGGGACATCTGGTCACCCTACCATAGACACTTATAAAATATGTTGATTTATAAAATGCTCTGAATATGTACAGTAGTGTCACACAATGCTGAATTTGTGTGTGTGTTAATAGGAAGCTAAGGAGTAAATAAAGGCTTCAAGGTGAAATTTAAAGAGAATAAGTAACTCCTCACCTTCCTCCCTGCACTCTGCCCACTTTTTTTATTTTGCTGCTTGGCTTCCTTTGTTTCCTCCTCCGTTTGATCATATTCAGCTTCTTATGATCCAGAAACCTTTTCTCTCTAAGGGCAGCATCTGAAATAATAAAAGTGTTGTCACTTGGAAGAATCAAGCTTCAAATAGGGGGGAGGATGCATGATCTGGTGGCTAAGGTCCAGGATAGGGAATTGAGATCTAGGTTCTATTACCTGTTCTTCCACAAGTTTCCAATGTGAATTTGGTCATTTAACTTATTTTCCCATCTTTAAAATCGGAATGAGGATTATTTAGGGGGATAATGAGGATTAATTTATTAGAGTGCTCAGATGTTATGGTGATTAGCACCTGAAAAATGCTTATAAATTATTCTAGTTCTCAGTAATAGATTAAGGGAAAGATTTTTGAAAACACATGAGAGGAAGGCATCCAACTCCCATTGATTTTCAGTGGGAGCTGGGAGCATAACTGCCAATTGTGCCTTTAAAAATCTTCCCATTTTGGTTAGTCATAAATTAGTATTATGTATGTATCACTTCAGTTTTTTACTTCTAATTGTTTTGTAATCACCATTAATGCAAAGTTTTTGTATTAAGAACCAAAATGTAATTAGATATTTGAAACTGTTGAGAGAATACTTCTGGATGAGCTGAACTGAATGTGTGTTTTAATTTGTGGTCAGGTTCCAGGTAGACTTCCAATGTGGCAGTAGCACAAAACCTCGTGCTGATGTGGCCTTTCACTTCAATCCCCGCTTCAAAAGATCAGGCTCCATAATCTGTAACACTCTGGAAAAAGAAAGATGGGGTTGGGAGGAGATCACTTATCAGATGCCTTTTCAAAAAGGGAAGCCATTTAAGATTGTCTTTATGGTTTTGAAGGATAAATTCCAGGTGAGTCCCTAAGGAAGGTGAATATTTAGCCACTTGTCATGCCATAAACGCAAACTAATTTGGAAGCGTCAATGTCACTATTGTTTACTGCTATGTACACTTCGATTACAAAGAGAAACTATAGGCTTTCGCTGAAAGAGGGGCACTGTTGAGTAATCTAGGCCTTTACTTTTATATACTTGTACCTGGAAAGTTGTGTGTTGAGGGAGCAAATACCTTCCTGATTATACTAGCTGTTACACAACCCCTCCCTTTCCCATGTGTAAAAGGGCTTCTCTTGAACACAGCAGCCTTCCTGCACACAGAAGAGTGCTGAACAATGCTCTCTGGATCAGTCAGAGGAAGCACTAAAGAGAAACAAATATTTGTCCAGCTCTGTCCAATTGAGATAAGACGGGTGTAGCTCTAAATAAGTCTATAGTCCATATGTCATCAGATGGTGATGTGCTGAGAGAATCAAAATATGATGAGAGATGCAATATCAAAACCAAAGTACAAACGTGCAGTAAATTTATCTTTGTTACTGAATGCCATTAAATATTCCACACTATTGTAAAGAAACGTAACTAGGCAAGTATTTCTGTTTCTCTACCAAACCCCATGAACCATGGTGTACTTTAACCTTGTTCTGGAGGAGGAAGAAGATAATATCTCTGTCTCTAGCTGTTTAATTCCTGGTTAGTCCATCTAGTCTTCTCTTGATGGATTATATCTCCAGGGCTTTTCAGAGTGGCTGGAGTACAGCTTTCTCGAGGACTGTGTTGTAGTTCTTGAGTTAAAGAAATAGATGACCATATTAATTTCAAGTAACACTAGTGAGGTTGTGTGGTAGGGTCATTTTGGTGTGTAGCTAATAGAGAAGGGGAAGTGTTTGTGTGTGGGTGGGGAGAAGGGAATATTTAAACATAACATATTAAGAAAAAGAAATGAAGTCAGTGATTACAAGGTAAACCAACAAAATCAACCCCCAAAACAGTCAATAGACTTCATGCAACTTAACCATGATTATCATATTACCCATAATGTTCACTATTTCAATTTCAAAATGTGAAGGAAAAGAAAATGAATTTAAACCTAAATTCTTTGTTGTCAAAGGCATGTTCCAAAGCAAGAAGCTAAAACAAAACACAACTGAGTAAAATTGAGAGAAACGTAAAGGTTTAGTAGTGATCTTATGTTGAGTATATAAATACTATTTAAGATATCAGTACATTTCTGCCTTTTTCTGCCTCTCTAGGTGTCTGTAAATGAAAAACATTTGCTGCTGTACAACCACAGAGTTAACCTGGAAAGAATAGATACACTCGGGATATATGGGAAAGTACAGATTCAGACTATACAGTTTGTTTCTAATAACGTAAGTTGCTGAATTGGACAGCTAATTTTGGGTTGCTTTTCCTTATGTCTTTCTACTTCATATTATGCTGTATTGAAGTAAGATATCAACAGTGAAAATGAAGTAACACAGAAGTAAAATCTATATGAACTTCAATATAGAAGTGCAGTAATATCTCCTGACATATCCAGTATAATGATTTCTTCCCCTATTCATCCCCCCAAAATATTATCTGAATGTCTTGTTCCTTAAATGTCAGATAACCAGGGTTATACTGTACAACTCTGAGTCTTAACTAGAGCTACAGCTAGTCATTCCTCTGCCCAGTGTCAGAATGTCTTTTTTTCTATTTTGGATTTGAACTTTCTGTGTTGGGGAGAGAAGCCCAGCCTACACACTTATATCACAGTTAATACGAAAAACAGATTGTATTAGGGTGACCAGATGTCCCGATTTTATAGGGATAGTCCGGATACTTGGGACTTTATCTTATATAGTTGCCTATTGCCCCCCACCGCCTGTCCCGATTTTTCACACTTGCTGTCTGGTTTCAGAGTAGCAGCCGTGTTAGTCTGTATCCGCAAAAAGAACAGGAGTACTTGTGGCACTTTAGAGACTAACATTTATTAGAGCATAAGCTTTCGTGGGCTACAGCCCACTTCTTCGGATGCATCCTCTAGATTGTATGCAGAAATAGGCATGTGTAATTTACTCCCCTTGGAGATGAAGACCGGAACTTTCAGCTGCTTGTGCTTCAAAATGATCCCTAGAGCATCTTTCCCAGAATAATCTACTTCCAAACACTTGCACTAAGACAGAGCTAGAACTCTTTACAGAGTGTTTACTTGTATATGTGACCTTACTTTATCGACCAAAACAACACTAACTTGGCTGATTAGATGGTGAATGTACCTTTTTGAGTCACCCTTTGGCTGGGCTGCAATGCTTTGAGATAATATGGAGCAGCACAGTGCTGTCTCCTAATTGATTCAAACAAACTGCCAAATCTGTTGAAGGTGAACCAATGGGAGGGAACGGCTCAGTCTGTCTCTCTCCTGCACAACCCAGTATAGAAGACAACATCTGTTTATTACACAGGGGAGACTTGCAAAGCCCCACAGACTCTCCAGATATGAAGGGGCAGGTGAGGGTCTCCCCATCCCTCGCTTGCTATTCTGGAGGTGAAGCTCAGCCTTCTGGGCTGTCAGTCAAATGAGGCCCTTGTGAAGCAGCCAGGTCCACTGCAACAGCTTCCCTGTTCTTTGTCCTAGCCTGAGGAGATTAAGCTTGCTTTAGTAGACAGCAGCATGGGGACTGCCAGCAAAACAGCAAGGAAAGTGCCCCTCCTCACACCAGTGCAGACAGTGGCTAGTGAGTGCAACAAGGCAGCACAGCACAAGGAGTGGGGGAACAGCCCAGAAATGCAGTTAGGTAGGACAATCGTTCTCTCCCCTTCCATACCCAAATCCAACTCGTTCCTTTTATCTGCCTATGAAGTAAAATTCCATAGAAACTCAGATGGAAATATTTTTTTTCCTGTGTGAAAGCTCCCTGGATTTCTACCTGCTAATCACAGTTTAAATTGTCCTTGTTTTCTGCCAAACCTCTAGCCTAATTCAGGTCACCAGGGTAATAACTGTATTGAAGGGAGGTAGATTTGAGCCTGAGAGAAACAGCGACTGAGCTCTGAAGAGGTGTCCACCAAGCTCTTTTATGTATGCAGCATGGATGTAGCTCTATATCTGGGTACTTATATGGCCCTCAACATCTAAATGCCTGGATTAAATGTTAACATGAAGCTGAATGTTTCAGTTTTAGAAGACTGATTGTGTGTGTAGTTTTGGGGCCAGCAAGTGTTGAACAGTTTGACCTTTGCCTCCAAGTGCAATACAAAGAGAAAAACACATACGTTTTCTTAATCGTAGATTGTGTAATCACAGGTTTTCTGTTTTTGTATCTTTATAGTTTCTCTATTGCTGTTCTGAGGCTGACCACAAAGTTGTATCATTTTCTCTACTTTTCTGTTTTCCTTCCCTGCTAGTGGGGACAGTTCTGCTATCTTATGGAATGAAGAATGGCAAGGGTTGCCCTGAACCAAACAAGTTGAGGTTATGAGATGATATGAAAGTGGCTAGACCAAAGCTTGTTCACATTTAGCAACATTTAAATTCAAGATTCAAGTTATATGCCATGTAAATTATGTCATGTAAAAAAAAAAAACCAGATCACTTTGAAATCCCAAGGTCCTCTAGGATCCTATTCCTTAAAGGCCCTGCGGAATTGTCTTCCTCATTCCATTTAGGAATGCTGAATATGGTGTCCTCCAAAAAATCCCATCAGTATTATATTGAGGATCTGCCTGAAGGGTTACTCAAAAGCAATACAAGATGACAGGTCCCAGGCCTGTCAAGTGAGGGTCCAACCTGAGCCAGATCCTTTTAGACAGCACAATGTGGTTTCACTAGACAAGGGGCAGGCAAACTTTTTGGCCTGAGGGCCGCATTGAGTTTCCAAAATTGTATGGAGGGCTGGTTAGCGGAGGCTGTGCCTCCCCAAACAGCCAGGCGTGGCCCAGGCCCTGCCCCCTATCCGACCCCTCCTGCTTCTCGCCCCCTGATGGCCCCCCCGGGACTCCTGCTCCATCCAACCCCCCCATTCCCTGTCCTCTGACAGCCCCTGGAACCCCCGTCCCTGACTGCCCCCCGCCACCCCATCCAACCCCTCCTCTCATTCCTGAGTGCCCTC